TGTAACTCCAGATCCAGGGGATCCAGCACCCTTACACAGACATACATGCAGGCAAAACACCAAGAAAAAAAAAGTATTTTATTTTGGCTGAAGATTTCAGATGAGATAAACAGTAGGCATATGGCTGAGGGTAGTCAGGAATATCGAAAGTTAGTGAGTGGAGGTATACCAGATTAGGTCGTATTTAGGAAGGTTTCCCTTGATGCCATATAGAGGGCAGAGTGACAAAAGACACATGCAGGGAGTGAGATGCCTTCCCCAGCAAACACAAAGGACAGAATGGTGTGGACAGGACAGCAAGCACTGTTGGGGTTAGTGGGAAAGGCAGATGAGAAGGGCTTCCTGGAGGAGGAGTCACTTCCTGGAACAGGAGCCACTGGGGCCCCTGCATCTATGCTCCACACCACACATCCTCTCCTACCTAGACCAGAAAATTTTCTTAACTTGTCTTCATGCCTTCCTCTTTTATCTCTCTCCCTGCCTTGCAGTTGCTGAAAGAAAAAAAAAAAAAAAAAAAAAAAAAAAAAACATGATTTTTTCCAAATGTAATTCATGTGTCCCACTCTGTCCAGAACTCTTCATAGATTCCTATTGTTAGACAGCCACTGAAGAGTCTTTAGTTCTATTCTATAAAGCCCTGTGTCTTGGGTCCCCCTTGTCTTCCCATCTCACTCTCACCTTTAACCTCCCCAGAACACAAGGGCCTTGGAGACAGGAGTCTGCTTCTTATACATCATTAGGTCCTTAGCATCCTGTCACTATGCTGCATTCAGTAAATATGGCTGACTAAGAGAATAAAGGTGGAGAGGCTAGAGAGGTGGCTCAGCAGTTAAGGGCCTTTCTGTTCTTGCAGAGGACTCAGGTTTGGTTCCCAGCACCAGACTATCTGTAACTCCAAGTCCAGGAACCCGCTGCCTCTTCTGACCTCTGCAGGGCTCTAGTATACACATGGTACACATCCATACTCACACACACACCCACATATACACATTTGTGTGCATATATATCCAAAATGAAATGTATATACAGAATACACATTTACAAAATAAAATAAAATTTTAAATAAAGGTTGGTGCTAAGAAATGGCAAATGTCTGTATTTACAAAGATGGCACAAAATGCTTCATGGACACAGAACACCTTTTGTCAGGTCTTCAGGAGAGAGAACCCAGGCTTCCCTCCCAACCCAACCCCATTTTTCTCTCCTTTGCTTGGCCCTGCCATGCCAGCTTCAACGAGACATTCCAGTTTCTATTCTGGACCATGTTCGGCATGGAAGAACACAAAGTGGTGGACATGCCTCAATTCCTGGTGCCTGAGTTCGTGGGCCGGGCCCTGTATGGCATCTTTACCATCGTCATGGTCATCGTGCTGCTCAACATGCTCATTGCCATGATCACCAACTCCTTCCAGAAAATTGAGGTGGGTAAACCGAGGCAGGCTAGGCAGGAGAGGAGGGAAAGGAATGGGGGAAATGTGGTGCCAAGACCCTTGGGTGCCTGCTCTGCCCCACTATTGTTTCATGCCTTTGGACAAGTTCTCCTCTGTACAAGAAGGGCTCTAGTACTGCTGCTGCTGTCGCTAGTCGGCAAGTCTAGTACTCTTCGCACTTTGTCTTATTGCTGCTGCTGCTGCTGCTGCTGCTGCTGCTGCTGCTGCTGCTGCTGGTGGTGGTTTGGAGGCATTGTAGAATACTAAGAGGGGACACAAGAAGGAAGTAGATAGGTTGGATTTGCAGCCTGGAAAATAGGCTGAGCAGCAACCAGAATTTAGAGACAGGGAGTGGGAAAGGGAAAAGCATTCCAGGAAAATGTTGTTGATTGATGGAGGTAGAAATAAGAACAAGAAGAAAGTGGCTGGTACAATGGAGAGTAACAGATGGGAAGGCAAAAGAGAGGCAGAGTGACTGAGCCAGGGGACCAGTGCCAACATGGACCTTGCCTAGCCTCCTGCCTCGTGGTCCCCAGGATGATGCTGATGTGGAGTGGAAGTTTGCTCGCTCTAAGCTCTACCTGTCCTACTTCCGAGAGGGTTTGACACTGCCTGTGCCCTTCAACATCCTGCCCTCCCCAAAGGCTGTCTTCTACCTTGTCAGGTAATGGCCTCTGCTCTTGCCCCTGTACACTACCCAGCTCCTGCCCCACTTTCCTAGGCCCTGTTCCTTACTAACTTCTTTTCGCCATGGTAATCTCTCAGGAGAATTTTCTGGTTCATTTGCTGTTGCTCCTCCTGCTGCAAAGCTAAGAAGTCAGACTACCCCCCCATCCCAACCTTTGTGAGTACCTTCTCAGCCCGATGTGCTTCCTCGCCTGTGTTGCCTAAGCCATCAGTATGTCCCCAGAGAGCCTGCTCCCAATTCCCACTCTCTTAAATGGCCTCCATTTTCATCTTCCTGGTTCTGTCTGGATCCTGCATTTCCAGTTCAACATCCTGCAGCCTAGACATGATTTCATACCATCTCCAAGCCTGGGTTCCAGACAACCAAACTATAAGAAATGGGTGATTTAAACAGCGTATGGAAAAAGCCTCCCAAGGAATCAGAAGGTTGACAGAAGCAGAAAGAGGTGGCTGGGCATCCAAGAGGCTCCCTACTTCCCACCATTAGCACCGTAGCACGGCCTGTCTGGGATGAGAGCTTTTCTAATTTGGACCATTGCTGCCAGTTCTACAGGCCTCTTTCCCTCCCATCCCACTCCCACCTCTCAGCCTTCACCATACCCTGTCCTCCACAGTTGCTTCCCCTAATTGGCTTCCATCTGTCCTCCAGGACTGGGCTGTAGGAGAGAAACCAGGGACAGAAAGCTTGCATAGATTTTGCCTTTCTCGTTTATTCTTGGTCAAGAGACAGTTGAAAATAATTCACTTTGTCTTTCATTACAGACCAACCCTGGGGCAAGGGCAGGGCCTGGGGAAGGAGAACATGGGTCTTACCGCCTTCGTGTTATCAAGGCTCTGGTACAGCGCTACATAGAGACTGCTCGGCGCGAGTTTGAGGAGACCCGCAGGAAAGGTCAATTGCCCACCTCTAATCCTTACCCATTGCTGTTCATGACTCTCTTGGGAAGTAAGCCTCACACCCAGACTTCCCCTCCTCACTCAGTTAGGGTGCAGGCTTGTCCTTTCTGCCCTGGAAAGTCCCAGCTTGCCCAGCTAACTGCCTGACTCAGAGACTCTGCCTTTATTTACATGTTATTATGTTCTCATTCCCTCATTCAACCCATGTGTGCTCACATATTCGATTTCCCCCTTTCTACCTCTGCACTCCCTCCCTTCCTACCCCTCTCCCTTCCTGTCTTACTAAGTTTCCCAGTCTGGTCTCTCTCTCTCTTTGTTTTTTTTGGGTTTTTTTTTTTTTTTTTGGTTTTTCCACATAAGGTTTTTCTGTAGCTTTGGAACCTGTCCTGGAACTAGCTCTGTAGACCAGGCTGGCCTCAAGCTCACAAAAATCTGCTGCCATGGTCTCCCAAGTGCTAGCATTAAAGGTGTGAGCTACCTCTGCCGCTGCCACCACCCGGCTTCCCAGACTGGTCTTGAGCTCACTTTGAAGCCTAGGCTGGCTTTGAACTCTCCATCCTCTTTCCTCAGTCTCCCGACCAGATGGGGTTTCAGGCCTGCACCAAGCTGAGCTAAGGCTTCCCTTCTTTGTGGCTGCCCTGTGCAGCAACCTGCACAGCTTTTCTATCCCCCTGACCCCTCCGTTCTTCCAGCCCTCCCTTAGGATCCAGATAGTGTGTCCCAGGGTTCAGTAGGGTGGGGGTGCGGGGAGACAGAAGCGGTGCTGACAGGCTCACCTTTTGAGGGACCTCTCTGTCCTGATCCATCTCAGACCTGGGCACCAGACTGACAGAGCTGACCAAGACTGTGTCTCGACTGCAAAGCGAGGTGGCCAGTGTGCAGAAGACTCTGGCAGCAGGTGGGACACCACGGCCTCCCGATGGTGCCAGCATCCTCAGTCGCTACATCACCCGAGTGCGCAACAGCTTCCAGAATCTGGGCCCCCCCACCCCTGAGACCCCAGCTGAGCTGACCATGCCGGGGATTGTGGAGACCGAGGTCTCTTTAGAAGCTGGCCTTGATGATGTAGGGGAGACTGAGACTCCAGCGTCTGGAGAACCCAGCCACTCCTCCCCTGCTCATGTGCTGGTGCACAGGGAGCAAGAAGCAGATGGGGCAGAGGACCTGCCCCTGGACGAATGTCTGGAGACCAAGGGCAAATCCTAACACAACAGAAGGTTTTCTTCTGTCACTGAGTGAAGCAGCCTTGTTGGATAAAGCAAGTGCCTCATAGTAGAAGACCATGGTCTTCTTTGCCTCAGTAAAATTTCTGCTGTGGGGAGTCAGGTAGCAATCCTCATCTCTTGATCCCTTCCTGTACTTCACCCTAAAATGGACCCCATGTGAGAAGGGTAGAGAGAAACAACTTGCTTTGGTTCTGGGGTTTAGAATCCTACTTTGGGATTCCTTAGATCTTTAGTGGAAAGAGTTCTGGCCTAGGAGGCTGGAGGCCTGGAAGAGAAAAGACCAGGGAAGCAGGAAGCCTGAGAATTGGGGGGCCCGGGGGTATGGAGGACTGGGGAGGGGGCTGACAGTACAGGGACCTGCCAGTGGGGGCCCCTGGGAAGACTGAAGGTGCTGCCCTCCCTTGGCCTTGCATTTCTCATAAGACCAACAGGGCTGGGTCCATCTATTCTGCCATAAACGTAGCTGTGAGGGTCCTCTGGCTGTTAAAAAGCTCCAGGTGCAGAGGTTAAATTATGTAACTAGGAGTGGACTGTGGTGGTGCCGCCTTTAATCCCAGCACTCGGAGGCAGAGGCAGGGGGAGTTCTGTGAGCTCAAGGCCAGCCTTGTCTACAAAGCCACACAGAGAAACCCTGTTTCAAAAAAAAAAAAAAAAAAAAGTGTGTGACTAGGAGGATTAGGAAGTTAGTTTTGAGTCCCTGACTTTCAAGCATGCCAAGGATAAATGGCCTCATGAAACAAACCAGTCATAAAAGCCCATGTCTCTATACCACAACTCGATTTAATTGAGTAACCATCCAGTCTTGATCTCACATGCCCTAGGAAGTCCCCACCACATAGTATGGTTCCCTCAACCCTGCCATAGCTCAGGTCTCCATCCCTGGTTGGAGAGGTAGCCCCTAGGACTGGAACCAGAACCACACCATTGCTTCTTGGGGCTGCCCAAAGCCCCCTCTTCATTGAAAGGTCATAGAAAGGTCAGCAGTTCCCAAGGTTCCTAAGAGGCTTTCAGGGTCCAGCTCTGGAGAGCTGCAACTCCCCAGGGGCCAAGAGCATCGTCTTCCCTGATCGTAGAGCCAAGGCCTCTGTGGGGGATGACTCTGGCTGCCCTACTGCTGGAGAAAGAAGAAAGGAAGGTGAGGTGTGCAGCAGGGCCAGGCGAGCAGAACAGTTCCCAGAGCAGGCTAGAGGGTGACTTACCTGTTGAGGACACACAGCCATGCCTCTTCTCCCCTGCAACAGACAGCACAGTGAGGCCCTGGGGCGAGTCACATCCCAAATGTCTTGCCTATGACCATACCCCTTTCAGTCTCTTTCCCTTCCCCTTAAAGTAGGCTACTTAACTTCCTTCAACTTCTCCCCGAGGTAACCTTTCCAGATTGCGTATCCACCCTTGCACCTACCCACACCCTCACCACTCTTCATCTGCTCTTGCCTCCCGACTGCACTTGGCACAGTCCTGACCTGTTAGCCCCATCAAACCAGGGCCCACTGAGACCAGAGGCAGTTCTGCCCTCCGTCACTCGGTTCCTTGCTCTAATAGGTACCACAGACCGACCCTTTGGAGAAGACAGTCATTGAGAATGTCCACAGATCTTGAAACTCTCACAGGACCTGGCAGAACTTCAGTCTCACTAACCAAGCAGATCTCCTGAAGGCTCTGGGGACTGGGTCAGGACATGCTGGCTTCTTTCACCCACCCTGCCATCTCTGTCTCCCATGCATCGCTCACCACCCAAATAGGCGCAGTTAAAGTGGCTGCAGGTCTGATTAGAACTCCAGAGAGTTACTACGCTCTGGGCTCCATCCTGGAAGAACCCAGTGACCAAGAAGACTTCATGTGGGGGTATCAGCACCTCACGCTCCTCAGGGAAGACAGACAAAGCCTGGATAAGAGCCCCAAAACAAGTCCTTAGGTTGAAGAAAGTGGCATTACCAAACCCGCGAGCCACTGTTTCATCCAGAGAGCTAGAAGCAAACTGTCCAAACCGGACAAAGTCCCCCAGCCTCTTGGGTTCAAAGTGAAGGCTGCCCACACCCCGGAACACCACCTCCCCATCTCTCCCACTGCAACCCCCAGTGCCTCTCAGCAGCTGCAGGGCCCGGGTCAGGTAAAAGTGGAGGGCCTTGAAGGGGAAGTGCCTCAGGTAGAGCTCCCGGGAGCCACCCCCTGTCCGCACAGCCTGGTTCAGTTCCCAGTACAAGGTGTTGGATGAGTTGGTGTACACTATGATAGCTATTCCATGCTGGGCTCTGAAGCCAGGAGGTAGAGTAAGCCTGTGACGCCTGTGTTCCCAGGCCTCTTGGGCCGCTTCCCAGGATTCCTGTAGCAGGGCATGGCGCCCCATCTCCTCCTTTAGCAGCAGGCCTGCTTTCTCTTCCATCTCCTCAGAGCAGCCCACATAGGCATCATCGAAGGTGTCTGGAACCAGGCTCAGGGGCAGGATAGGAACAGCTTGGGCCTGTGGACGTAAGGGAGGCAGACACTAGAACACTGGCAAGGGGTCCTAGTGGCAGATCAGTGTTTCCATTTCTGTGCCCAAACATCTGATGCACTGGCAAGACCCCAAACAGGCACAAGTAACACTGTCAGCAGAGTCAGATAGACATGAGTTTAAACACCACCTGCTACCTGTGGATCTTGAGCATTTCTCAGGTCAGGACTTTCCTGGACTTCACATTCTTCTTCTCCGATGAATTAATGGTACTTCAAGCCTCACAGGATTATTGTGAGGAGAGCATAAAGATCATTGTGGCACAACCTAAAGGGCATCATCTCATCTTTCCAGAGATGAGCCTGGTTGGTTCCTGTGGTTTCCTGGCTCTGAAAGTCAGTTTGCCGGCAATAACTTGCAGCCAGTGTCTGGTCCCTGCCCTGATCCCCATCCTCCTTACTCTTGGGAAAGCCCCACAGCCCAGTTATACATCACTGTCAGCCCTGAGATCCCCGCATGCTCTCCTGCTTTAGAAGGTGTTATTCTAAATTCAAGGCTGGATGGGTGGGAGTTTATTGTCCCCAGCCTAACTCTAGTCCCAGAGTGTGATAGGGACGAGGGTGAAGCCCGGTTTTCAAGGTCTACAGCAGCACACTGGTTTGTACAAGGATTTGCCTGTGATGAGCCTGTGTGAGAAGTGGGAAGGAGAAAGTTGAAGGCAACCCCTATGGAGGGGTAACATGAAGAGAGAATCGCACGGGGAGCTAGGGGTGCAAGGAGGTGAAGTTCTGGGAGAGAGAGTGCATTGGGGCTCCCTAATAGAATAGAAGTTCCTGAGAAGAGGACTGGAGAAGGTAAGAGTGGCCTAGAGGGTTTCCTTGACCGTTCCTCTACTACCACCTCCTCAGTGTCTAGTCCCAAGAGTTACCTTCCAGAGAGTGTGCAGGCCGAGACAACTGAGGACCATTAGCAGATCCTCCAAAATCATCCTTGGAGGAGTCCGGAACGGTAGGATCCAGATGATGATGAGGCCAGAGGAGGAGGGGTGCTGGCTTGGATGAGCTCCAGGACCTTCCTCCTATACCCAGAGGGTCCTTATTCAGGAGTGATGTGGGATGGTGCCAAGGTCAAGTCTGTGGATGGGCAGGGCTTCAGATTTACTGTCCCTATCTCAAGCCCTAGTCTGTAACTACCAGATGCCCCCTCACCCAGGCTCTCCTGGACTTTCTTACTATGGTATAGGTGGGGCAGTTATATGGCTCCGCCTGGAGAGGGCGGGGCGGGAAGGAGGACCCACCTGGAGGTGGCAGAGGCCTAGGTGGCCAGAGGCTCTGGTACTTTTCAGCAGACTAGGTCCGAAGTGCAGGCAGGCGCTGGGCAGGTCCGGGACTGCTAAACAAAGTCCCCGCGGCTAACTATAGCCCCTGAACTGGTAACCTGACACCTATTTTCCACAACAACAGACGGGGGCGTGGGAGCCGGACTGGCAGAGTCCTTGAGTGGTTGAGGGGCAAAACTCTCCTTCCCTTGGATGACAGGTTCTTTCTGTAAGATCTGAGCTAGGTCAAGGTTCCGGGAGGGACTTATGAGATTTGGCCTTTTCTCCGGTGGCCCTGGAACCGGACCAGGGCCAGAGCCCTGGACCACCAGGTCACGAAGCCCTGCGCGGGTCGCTGCTTGCACCTCAAGCTATAAATCGGTCTTATTTGCATAAAATTTGCATACGACACACGTTGAGTCACGTGACCGGCATCAAAGCCCACCCCCACCCCCACTTCCTTCCCTACTCTGTCTCCCTACCCTAGTCTGTAGAAAAGGATAGAAGAGAGTATGAGCTGCCTTCTGGACCTCTCTGGTTCAGGTGACCTCGTATTTGTAAACACAGCTCTGTCACACCTCCGTTGATCTTGACTATAAATAACCTAGTTCTGAGTTTCAGATGCCCAGTTGGAGGTAATGGGAGAAGGGGCCAGTTTATAGGGATGTGGAGGACGGATGTTCTGAACAACAGTACTTAGAGATGCCACCTGCTGGGCCCAGGGAAAGCATGACATGTGAAACCTGCCAAGGACCTCTCTGGTCCAGCTCGTGAGTTTACCCATCACTACCCCTTCACCGCCTCAGATTGCCAGCCAAATAAAGCTTCCTTCACGTTCTCCGTTCCTTCCTGATGACTAGAGAGGAAAACAGACTGTCCATTTGGTGGGAAGGCTGGGTTGGGATGTGGAAGAGCAGCAATCCCCTGCCTATCTATCTACCCCATCCTCCCTCTCTATGTGGGGACAGCTTCTGGCTTGGGCAACTTCTTATGCCCCAGCACCTGGAGCTCCTACAAGGCCCCAAGAAGTGGAGTAAAATCTGGTCCTGGGCCAGGGATCCTGAGGGGGCAGAAGGTCCTCCCAGGTCACATGGCTGGTCAAGGATCCAGCTAGAACCTAGGCTCCTTAGAACAGAGCAAAGCTTGACATGGTACATGTCTATAATCCCAGCATTCAGGAGGGAGGCAGAGGCAAAATGACTGCATCAAGTTTAAGGCCAGCCTGGACATTGTGAAAGAAAGCAATAATAATAATAGACAAAAATGGAAGGAGATGCCTGGAGATGGGGGAGCCTTTTTGACTGTCCAGAGTACAGTCTAGTGAGGAGGCTGCTGTCTTGTCTCTGCAACACCCCCAGGGCATCTTCCTTCTGTGTTCAGCAGCTCTCATTGTCATGGGAAGAATGTTGGCCCTGGTCACATTGGGCAGAGGCTAGTGTTCCTGAGCCTTGAGGAGACAGCTTGAAATAGACTGGGGGGGGGGGGGAGTGTCACATTTCTGAGCAGCTGTGTGGGGAAGCAGGAGGGGTAGGGGACTGACAGTATAAAAGAGAAAGCTACCTTCCTGCCTGCCTGTCACAGGAGACCAACCCAGCTTTGCCCACCATGGAGAAGGCTAGGTAAGAGGCACCTCACCATGCACAGGGAGCAGAGAAGGAACTTTTTGATATAAAATTTAGGGTACTGGTAAAGTTTTAGGATGGAATGGTTGAGGACACTTAGGAAGGTTTGAAGGGTTTGACATAAGAGTTGAGGTCATATTCCCAGAAGGGACTGCTGAATAAGGGAGGAGAGGGAAACAGGATTGTAGGTCACAGGATGAGGGGAAATGCCACTTCTCCACTATGGAAAGGGATTTCCAAGATGGATTCAGCTCTCTCATGCCAGAGACTAAGTTAAAGGCCCAGCCTGGGATAACTAACAAGATCTTGTCTCAAAAAAAAAAAAAAAAAAAAAAAAAAAAAAATGGGGAGAGGGAATTCCCAGAACAATTCCTGCCTCGAATCCCCCTGCCAACGCTGGTCACCAAGGGCAGCAATCTACTTACTCTGAGGTGCTCTGTCTTGTTAGCAATGCTCAGAAAGCTCCTTGGGCTTGTTTACCAGAGACTTGGGGGGCTTTCAACACAGACAGAATAGAAATAAGATAGAGTCGGCTGTAGAAATGAGGGTGTGTGATGGCCACAGGCAAGCTTTAGTGAGCGAGGCTTCAGTTCTCAATGGAAGGGAGCCAGCACTGACAGATAGGGTGCGGCTGTCCTTACACTGATTTTCCAGGGTGACTGACTGGGGTCATGTATCTTGCCTAAAGGACATGGAGGGCTCAGTAGCTGTAGCTGTGGGACCTGAGGCTACGGGGAAGCTGCTATGTAACCTCTGAGAGTGGAGGGCAGAAGCCCTGCCCAAAGAGGTGATGGACACATCTGCATTCAGGGTGACAGATGACCCAGAGGGGAAGACTCCTTAACAAGGCTCCCAGCAAGCAGTCTGGTGACTGCCTGGTCCTGAACTGAGCTAAGGGGTCATAGAATGGGCTATTGCTGGTTCCTGCACAGCCAGGGTTTGGGGGGGGGGGCTCAGAAGAGTGCCACACAAAGCAATGTGGAGGATTCTGGGGGCTTTCTGAAAGAGGAGAGCCCTGAGCTAAGCCCTGAGAAGAGCTAGAGGATAGCTGAGGGTAGGGGGAGCAGTAGCATCTCCCTGGAATCTTGTTTCTTGGCTCCCGTACTGTAGGAGCCAAGAAGGGACTAAAATGTTCCCAGGGGCAAGGTCACTGAGCAGATCAAAAATCAGAATAAGGTTGGGCTTCAGGATAGAAGGTGTAGAGAGTTATTTTCCTGCTTTGGTTTGAGACAGGGCCTTATGTATTCCAATCTGTCCTCTGTCCTGGGACTCACTGTTTAGCCTTGATCCCTGATCCTCCCTTTCTACCTCCTGAGAACTGGGATTCCAGGCATATGCTATGATGCTTGACTGCTAAATAGGTATTGGAAATCAAACACGGGACCTTGTGCATGATGGTAAGCCCTCTCCTTTTTTATTGATTTAAAAAATGGCTGGGCAGGGGTGGCAGAGGCAGGTGGATCTCTGGGAGTTTGAGGCCAGCCTGATCTACAAAGTGAGTTCCAGCACAGCCGGGGCTACACAGTGAAACCCTGTCTTGAAAAAAACAAAACAACAACAAAAAAGATACATTGTCATATTTTCTCTTATATTTCTCATTTCTGCACTTTTTTCCTCGTTATTTTGAGATACTTTTTCTAGTCAATTTTGACACATAAGATTCTTTTCAATATTTTATGTTCAATTATGTGTATATTTGTGTCTGTATATGGGTATGTGCACCTGAGAGCAGGTACCCACCAAAGCCAGAAGTATCAGGTACTCCTACAGCCAGAGTTCCAGGTAGTCATGAGCCACCCTAGTGTGGGTGCTGGGAATTGAACTCATGCCCTCTGCAAGAGCAATGTATCCTTTCAGCCACTAAGCTCTCCCCACTCCCACACAGACGGCTTTTAAGCAGGGAAAGGTGGTAAACAGGGCTGTGCTTTGGAGACATTGTTCTCCCTGCTCCGTGGTCATGTGTTCTCCCTGCTCCGTGGTGGTCACGGACCTTGTAAGAAGGAGACAGACAAAACTAAACAGAGCAGGGATATGGGCCTCCACAAAGAAGAGAAGGAGAATCCAGGAGGCAACTTGGACTCAACATGCATGGCAACTGCAGTCGTGGATGAATGATTGAATGGATGGATACTCTTGTGACCATCCTGAGAGGCTGGGTGTTACTAGAGATAGGGCACCACATGACTGTCTTCTGCTAGCATGCTCACAGGAGCTATCCCAAGATAGATTAAGACTAAAGGGTGATATCAGAGGGTTGCAGGGTTCTCACTGAGCCCAAGGGCTGGAAGCAAAGAGCCCCATGGAACCCCAGAGCCTGGCTCTTTCTAAGCCTAGGCTCAGTGCTCAGCTTCTCTTGGTTTCTCCAACCCATCCTCTCTGGGATTTCATCTCTGCCTGACTTCAACAGCAATGATGCAAATGACTCTGCTGGGTTGTTTTCTTTTGTTTTTGAGATAAGGCTTCATGGAGTCCCAGGCCCACCATCCCCCTGCCTCAGCCTCCTAAGTGCTGGCACTACAGGTTGCACCATCATGTCCACCAGTAGGTAAGGCATAGGGGCACGCCTGTATCTCAGGACTCAGGAGGTGGAGGCAAAGGGATCAAAAGTTCAAGGCCATCTCAATACTGAGACCAGGCTAGGCTATAGGAGATCTTGTCTCAAAAACAAACAAACAAAAAATTCAAATCAGAACAAAATATTCTAGCAAAACAACAATGACAAAGACGTGTCCTGCTGGCAGTGGAAGGGTGAGCTGGCTTCCACCCCTGTGTGGTGTGCATACATGTAATTCCAGCACTCAGGAAGCTGAAGCTGGCAGATCACTTGGAACTACAGTTACACAGAGTGCCAGCCTGGGACACAGAGTAAGTTTAAGCTTGGCCTGGACTACACAGTCAGATCTGGCCACAAAGCAAACCAAACATTATGAAAAAATGGACTACACAGCCATTCAATGGTTTAACTCTACTATGAAACATACCATGTGGCCACCATAATGAACAAGGTAGATTTGAGGGTGCTTACTTGGAAGGAAGCCCTGATACGTATATGTAAGCATTTTTCCTTTGGGGGGGGGGAAAAAAAAACCAAGACCTTGCATATAGAACATTGTATGTTTGTGTTGTGTGTACATGTACTTAATATATTATTCAGAGGTTCAATGGGAGAGTGCTTGCCTAACATACACATGGCTCTGGCTTTGACCTACAGCATTGCAAAGAAACAGTTTATACTATCCAAATGTTTTTTGAGAAAGGCACTGAAAGACACATTATCACTGGCCGCTCCTTCCCATGGGCAGGAGTGTGTAAGGCTGGAGTGGGTAAGCAGAGAGAAGAAAGGGGACTTCATCACCCATACACTCACCTTCTTACAGTAGTATTACTTTATGCTACTTTGTAATAAAATGCACCTGACTCACTCTGTGGTAAAATAAGCAGGTAGACCATCTCCATTAGGCCTGCATTTAAGAGGTGGAAGCAGGAAGGTCAAAGATTAAAGGTCATCTTTGGCTCAGTAGCCAGTTCCAGGATAGCATAGGCATATGAAACCCTGTTTCAAACAAGCATAGACAGGCAGACAGACAGACAGACAGACAGACAGACAGACAGACAGACAAGGGATAGCACAAAATGCAGGCGCAGTACTGGTTTTGAGATGGCTGTTTCTGTTCTGACCAGAGGCCACTGTGGGTCAGTGTGACCACCCTAGGGGGTGTCAGAGACTATGTGACTCTCCTATCCCTTGGTCCAAAAGACACTAGGTGTCAGGTAATGTTTACTAAAGAGTACAGATTTAGGTCCCAATTTTCCAGATGAGCGGTTTGCCTGGAGTCATCTCCAACATGAAGATTCCAGCCATGATGTTTCTCCTACTGGTGTCTGTGGGCCTCAGGGATGGACCTCAGGTATAGACATCCTCCAGCAACAGGAGCAGTCTGGGATACGCCTGCTGGCTTCTCTCAATCCGGGGAGGAAGAGCAAAGGGAAGGACGACCAATGGTCCCTGGGAGCCCAACTGTCCCTCCTAGGGGACCCCTGAAAGAAAGCCTAGTCTTGGGGAGCTTGCAGCTGGTGGTTCCCAATCCCCCTCCCCTCCGGATGTACTGGATGTACTTGGGGTTCTTTCTGCCTTTCTCAATAGGCAGGCCCTTTCTCAGAGCAGGGGAAAGCTGCATGACTAGGTTCCCATTTTCCTAGGGACCGCCCTCCCAGTCCTTGATGCTCCCCTATCCTCAGGTTCAAAGTCACTCCATCACACAACTAGACATCTTTTCTCAAGAAACACCCCTGGACATGGCCCCAGCGTCCTTTGATGACCAATATGCTGGCTGTGCAGTAGACATGACAGCGGCTCTACCAGATCTCAACCACTCAGAATTCCAGACCAACAAAGTGTACGCGGATGGTTGGGCTCTGGCCAACACCCAGTGGCAAGAGCGCAAGGCCTGGGGGTCAGCGTGGAGTCTCAGCCCAACCCCCTTGCCCCTACCACCCCCGGGCTTCCGGGATGAGCACGGTGTGGCTCTTCTGGCCTACACTGCCAACAGCCCCCTGCACAAGGAGTTCAATGCAGCCGTGCGCGAGGCGGGCCGCTCCCGGGCCCACTACCTCCACCACTTTTCCTTTAAGACCTTCCACTTTCTGCTCACGGAGGCCCTACAGCTACTCGGGAGCCAGCGATCTCGCGGGTGCCATCAGGTGTACAGAGGGGTGCATGGCCTGCGCTTCCGGCCAGTGGGGCCCGGGGCTACCGTTAGGCTGGGGGGCTTTGCCTCCGCATCCCTCAAGAACGTTGCCGCCCAGCAATTTGGTGAAGACACCTTCTTTGGTATCTGGACCTGCCTCGGGGCCCCGATCAGGGGTTACTCCTTTTTTCCTGGAGAGGAGGAGGTATTGATACCCCCTTTTGAGACTTTCCAGGTGATCAATGCCAGCCGACCTGCCCAAGGTCCTGCACGCATCTATCTCCGCGCTCTGGGCAAACGCAGCACATACAATTGCGAATACATCAAAGGTGAGGAGCGAGTAACACCAGTCCTCCAAAAAGATGGACTTCCCGTATTTGCCAGGAGCTTTGGCAAATCCAAACCCCAACCTCCACCCAAGCCAAGGGATTCGTACATAAATAATAAGAGACTAAAGTATAGCACGCACGTAGGGCTCACACCTGTGATACCAGCGCTCAGCAGGTTGAGGCTACATGTGATTCCCAGGCAGTAATGGCTATGGGAGTTAGGAGGGGTCAAGGAGGCAGACATATAGGTATGGAGAAGAGGCAGAGAGGGCCTTTGAAAAGACAGGTACATTTGGATCAGGCTGTTGTCCCAGCTGGCAGCCAGAAAGGAACTAATTTCTAGTCACAGCATTGACACCAAGGCATTTGTTGGCAGAGTTAAGTAAAAGGGGAACATGTAGATGGCTCAGCCGGCAAAGGAGTTTTGCTGTTCAAGCCCCACATATTCAGTTCAGTCCCCAGAGCCCGTTTAAAGATTGAAGGAGAGAATTGACTCCACAGGGCTGTCTCTGACTCCACATACCCTGGGAGGCAGCACTCCCCCTTTCTCTCACACACTAATAATAAATAGAATGAAGTTTAAGAAAAGTAACCGAGTAAAACTCCCAGCCTTGAGAGCTGTAATTTTGACAGCCAGAATGGGAGTTATACGCAGGAGCCTATGCTGCGCAACGGTGGGAGTGAGATAGCAGGTAAGTGCCTCCCTCTAAGTTCCCGTCTACCTGTGCCAGGAGCATGTCAGCTGTTCCTCTTCCATCCAAGGCAGAGGCAGAACAGCAAGGAGCCTTTCCTAACCCTGCTGGGTTGTGGACTACTGCTCCTAGCTAAGTGACACCTAGCTTTCATAGTTAAGAGGCAGTTGGCTCACACAGTGACCATGGCTGAAATGGGAGGAGGTCCAATGTGGCTCAGTTCCTACCTGGAACAGCATCATAAGCTGCGAGAAAGGCAGGCCAAGAACACAAACCAGCACCTCCCTGTCTGGGACAGGGCGTAGGAAAGTGAGCTGGGAGTGTGGTGAGGAGGCAGCTACTGGCCAGAGGGCAGGAGCAGGCCAGAAAGAGATCCCAGCTTACATGGCTGTCCTCAGGGCTCAGGTCAAGTGAGTGTCATCTAGGGAGGTCCTTCTTAAGGGAGCAGAGTTCCAGAGAATCAAGGTTTGGTCATCAGAGCTCTGAGAGTCTTGGCCAATCAGAGAGCTACTGAAACATTGGCTATCCTCCCTCCCTCCCTCCCTCCTTCCTTTCCTCCATCCCTCCCTCCCTCCCTTCCTTCCTCTTTTCCTTTCTTTCAGAAAAGAGTTGCAGATCCGGGCCCTGCAGGTTGGATAGCTCAGGTAAGTGATGAAGATCTTTGAGCAGGCTGGGCCCTCACTAACTTCCCTCTTACTCTTCCAAACCCACCTCTTTACCTAAGAAGGGAGTCCCTAAGGATGTTTATTATGTAGGTGGCTCTGCAGCAGCCTCTGTGCCTCTCAGAGGAGGGTGGCTACCAAGCCTTGTTTCAGGCTGCTGCTAGAGGCGGCTCCCTGCAGTGCTCTTCCTTGGGCAGAACTCAGTGTCCCTGTTACTCTCCTCAGGGCTCCTTCAGATCTGCTTTCCAGGGTCAAAGCCAGCTCTTGGATGTCATGTGACTTAGTCTGGGCTCTGACTTAACTATCATTTCCCTGTGCCTCCGTTTCCTAGTTTGTAATAAGCACGTAGGATAAAAAAGCACCTGTATCTCTTTCAATTGTGAGTTCTCTTGTACCTCTGCTGTGCCAGGGCCTGCCTGGGCCACTGCTTATTTAGGTGGGAATACATGCATCACCACCACCCTCCCCCGCCCTAGCTGCCAACCATACTTCCTACTCCATCCCTAGCACTCCCTCCCTCTAGGGTCTGTGCCCAGTGGGCAGGAAAGATACCCAGCTTCTGCTCCTTCCACTTTCCAGGCTCTTTACACCATGAATCCTCAGCACTGTTCAATGACACTGGTACAGTTTATTATTATTTATTTTCCAGAATGGGTTTCTCTGTGCTACCCTGGTTAGTCTGGAACTCACAGAGATCCGCCTGCCTCTGCCTCCAGAGTGCTGGGATTAAAGGTGTGTGCCACCTCCCTCAGCATCAGCCACTTTTATAGAGGACAGAAAGTAGCACCCAGTCCTTCACCACACATCGAGTGAGGAATTGTGTCTATAGCCTGACTGCAGAGCTGAACTGTGAACTGCCCACCATGACAGTCCCTACTCTCCACCACACAGCAGTCTACCAGTAATCCTGGGATGCTGCTCTCATGTAGCAAAGTGGGACTAGAAACACAGTGCAGTGACTTGGCCAAGGTGGCAGAATGACCAGAAGCTGGGTCCCCAACTTCAAACCAGACCTTTTGTTTTGTTTTTGAGACAGGGGAGATTGCTTTGTGGCCCAGGTTGTCCTAGAACTCGTGTGCAATTCAGGCTGGCCTCAAATGGGTCATTCTCTAGCCTTAGCTTCCTGAGTGCTAGGATGCTGGCCAAGCAGACCACTGTATCCTGAGTGGGCCTCTACATTCAGGTGGTACATCATTTGAGACACTGGGAAAGTTTAGACGCTTTGCCTCCACATTCCCACCCATCACTACTCTGACCAGGGCAGGCATCTCAGATCTCTGCCCTCCAGGCTCATCCACAGTGCGGTGTAGTCTCCTTTGTGTCAGCAGGTGGCAGGGGTTAGAGCTGATTGGTTTCTGGATGGGAGACTGTGGCCCTCACTGGTCTCTTACTCTCTTGTTGCAGCTCTCTCTGTCAACCCCTTTCGTCTATATGCCCTCACACTGCTCCTGAATCTTTTCCTCCCCTAGCCCTGGGCTCCATCTCTGCCTCCTGTTCTCTTCTGCTGCTGCTCTGGCTCCTTGTGCTGAGTGTCCTTCTAGAGATTCCAGGCCTCCTGTGACCAACAAGATGCTGAACTGGCCCTGCCTGAGGAATGTTGGCTACCTGTGTGCTTTAAGTATAGCAGGATCCTGGTGAAGCAGTCTGTCTGCAGGAACTCTGAGACCTATGGCGATAACCTTCCAGACCTGGTATTGGTAGGACACGAAAGAGAATTTGGAGACTGAACCTGGTTCAGGGGTGTAGGAACGGGACTGCCTGGAGGTGAGAGGATTCTAGGATAGACAGAGACTTACTTGGAGCCCAAAGACTTCAACTCATTGTGGGTGATGATGCAGAAGAGCATTTGGCCACGTAGGGACTTGCCCAGGTCACTTAACAGCTTCCTATTGCTACCTGGAAAGTTCTGCCACCTGGCTAGGTTACAGTACCTGCCTCTCTGTTTCTATTGGTCCCTGAGTATTTCCTAGGTCAGACTGAGCTTCTTATGGGTAGAAGGCACAAAGAAATACCAGAGCTGTGTGACAGTAAGAAAGCAATCAATCCTATCAGTGGTGATCCCTGCACTACCCCTGTCTGGGCCACTAGTGAGCTCTGAAAATATTGGTGTGTGAGACAGGGTGGCTGTGTCTAACTGTAAGGATGGATAGCAGGGGAAATGACAGAAAAAGTTTTAGGCCCTCTCTCAGGGTTCTGTGAAATCCCAATATTTTTTTTTTCTTTCTGCTGTTGTTACCATAAAGGTCATTTTCTGGGCTGGTGAGATGGCTCAGCAAGTAAGGGTGCTCATCACTAAACCTGATTAACTTGAGTTTGATGCCTGGGTCTCACATGGCAAAGGGAGAGAACCAACTACCTACATTGTTTTCCAACCTCCACAAATGTACCAAGGTATATGAGCATGCATATGTGTGCACACACACACTTGTGAGTTTTAAAAAAGATATAACTATTGCATTGATCTGTGAGTCCTGAGATTCTTATCTATAAAGACAAACCTGGATACCCAACTTCTGGATGTGGCTGGCCCCAAGGAAAAGGTAGGACATGGAGGAGGTTCTGAGCACAGTTTCATTTATTATGGATTGAAGCTCTGGGACAAAATCTGCCTTGCTTTCTGTTCTGGAAACAAACTAGACAGTGAATTTCCGTCCCCAAGAGCCTTAGTAGAGATAAACACGATGAGTATCTATAACAGCAACTGCTAAGGATGACAAGAAAATGTGTACCTTTGTCCCTTTAATTAGTAACCTACACTCTAGTGTGTGGTAGCACCTGCCTCTGGAGAGGCAGAGGCAGGTGGGTCTATGTGAGTTCAAAGCCAGCCTGGGTTACATAGCAAGTTCCAGCCAGCAGAGTGTACATAGTGAGACTCAGGCTCAACAAAATAAAAATAACCTGGATTCTCCCAGCTCAGCTATAATTTCAAGTGTAGATATTGGTGGTTATTTATTATTCTGGAGCTCAGACTGATCTTGAACTTACAGGAGTGCACCAGTTTGCTCAGCTGACATTGAGTCCTATTCTCCAAATCTGTACTTTGACCTTAATCATACTGTAATTAAGGGAGAGGCAGGCTTTGGATCCCCTTCAATTATTGACAGTCACAAAGGCTGTTTGTGGATTGTGAGGTCAGAAGTGCTGGACCTGAAGAGTTGTTCCTTCCTGACTCTTAGCAGTAGTTTGGGGAGAGACTGGCTAGACTATCTGAGTACCAACAACCACCTGGGTTTTGTCATCCCTGCCTGGTGGTGTTGGTGACCACAGCTCCCTAAGATCCAGTTCCTGGCCCTCACAGGGCTTGGACCAGTACCAGGAGGCTCATGACCAGAGCCATGCAGAAGAAGATGCCTAAGAAAAAGCGGTCCATCACTCGAGCCAGGCGCTTCCAGTCTTCACGGCAGTGCTGGGCAGCCCGGTGGCTGCGGAAGGTGCTGGCGATAGAAGCCACATGATGCAGAAGGGCTTCTTGATGGCATAGACACCGTGGCTCATGACAGGGGCCCTCTGGGATACCAGCTGGAGGCTGGAGGCTGGGGGCTGATTCTAGTGGCCTGCACTGGCCACAGGGCTCCCCTCGTTCCCGCACACACAGGCCTCTGGCCAGGTGTTGCAGCAGGAGGACCCGAGCCCAGGCAGGCACTGGATGTGCACTAGGGCCACAGTAATGCAGATTCATGATGAGGATGGTAAGTGCTGTGGAGAACGTGACCATGGTCATGGTGGCCATGTAGTATTTCCCTGTGGGACAGAGAGCATTGTGAGCCCCAAGCAGGACATGAAGACAGTTGAACTTCCCAGCTGCCTCATCATAAATAGGAAGAAGGCCAGCACCATTCAAACACAATGAGGGAAGGATGTAGATAATGGTTAAGTTCTCTTTTCATTCCTATTAGGGCTTTGACTATATCTGCTACCTAATTACTTGCCCCACTGGGGAGGGTCAGATTATGATTGTAAGATGAACAGGTACTGATCCTTTCTGTACATCTGGAACAATCTATTGGTTACTCATAGATTCATAGTGATGCCCCAGTGAGTGAACAAATGTCAAGCGCACAAGAGAATGCCAGGCCCACAGCCATCACTCACTATGGTTATGACACAGGGGATCAGATCTTCCTCCATCAAGGTGGCTTTGCACCCCTAGCGGTGAGGGCTGTCTTCTCAGACAGGTCTACTCTTGCTCCCTCTTGCCCTCTGCAGCTGTCAACTTTGCTGACCCAGTGTCCATTCCCTCATGCTCTCAGGCTCACCGATGAGTGGCACGCTCTCTGCAGGCGGCATGCTCTCTGCCAGGATCAGCTGGAATACGGTGAGCGCCAGGAGCACGGTGACGCCCAGAGACACCTTTTCCCCGGAGTCAGCGGGCAGGTGGAAGGCCAGTGGTGCCAACAGGGAGATGAACACACAGGGCAGTAGCAGGTTGCATACGTAGGCGGCAGCGCGGCGGCGCAGCAGCAGTGTGAAGGTCACATCTGGGTAGGGCTCAGAGCAACAGCCGTAGGTGAGCACACGCCTGCGCGCCGGCATGCCCAGCACACGCCACTCAACGTTCTCCACGAAGTCGGCCAGACTGGCAGACGAGCCTCGGGGTCGCACGTCCAGCTGGTGCCCGCCGTGAGTCCATGAGCCGAAGGTCAGGCCACAGCGCTGTGCATCGAATGGGAAGGCAGACACGTCCACGCGGCACGAGCTGCGTGTTATGGCTGGTGCGTCCCAGCGCATGGCGCCATCGTGCCGTACAACCACATTGCTGCTGGCCGAGGCTGGTGCCTGGGTATCTGCCCTGTGGACAGGCAGGACAGGATTCACCCGGGCCCATGAACAGGGTGGATCTATTGTCACTAGTGGGGCTTTAGGGACCAGGGCAGCACTGTGGGGGTTCATTAGACTCACTTCAATCTGTGAATGTCTAGAGGAGATAGCACCTGGGGGCTTGGAGGGGCCAGGAGCAGAGTATAAAAGGCCTCTGCAAAACCCAGAGGTGGAACTGAGCCTCTCACACTGTCCTAGGGAGTTATCTGTAAAACTCATTAGAGGAACCCAGAAAGATGCACGCGTTGGCTGGGAGATGCAAAGCACCTAAAGATGGCATAGAAGAGTACCCTCAAGGGCTAGGCTGTAGGCTGGCGAGATCTCCAGTGGCCCCTAGCCTGGAAGGATAGAGTTGCCACAGAGCAGCACTTGAACCGGGCAGTTCTCTTGCAGAGCTACAACTGCCTCGGATCACATAGCAGGTTCCCTGCAGACATCTAGCTTGAGTTGGCCTGAGACAACTGAAAGTGCCACAGAGTGGCGAAGAGCTAAGAGGGGCCCCAATGGAAGTTTCCAAGGCATCTTAGCAACTCTATTAGGAGTTGGGAGGGACTCGGAGCATGTCAAGGGCAGATGGGTGACTCTAAATATGAGTGGGGAAGACAGGCAGTACTTGTTGTAGAGTACGATGTCTGGTCGCCACACTAGGCTGCTGGGAATGTGGATTGCATCCAAGTCACCATAGGCTTTGGGGTCCCAGTGTAGGTAGGCATCTGTCCACTCCTGCCGGATCCACAGGTACAAGGTCAGCACCTGGTTCCGTTCGTCCTAAGAGGGGCAGGCAATGGACATGCATATATACACACATTGCCTTCTTCATGCACACTCACAGGGCTCTCTGGTCAGCACCCACAAACCCAGTTTGCTCAGCCAGCTCAGTCCTCCCTCATCTAGGCTTGAATTTGTGTGCCCTTCATGGGCTCTTAAATCTCCATTTCATCAGTTGATCCCTCCATAATTCCTGCTTGGGGAGGTGGGAGTTCAATAATTCCATTGTGTAAAGCCTTGGGCCACCAATGGGTACATGGAAATTAATGGTTATTATTATCATTATTAACATAACACACAGGAAAAGGATAACTGTTCCCTTGATGTACATTACACCCACATCATACCATATCGATGATCTGAGACAATGTCACCTCCAGGGTCACATTGAGAGTCTGGTCTGTGTCTGCCACAGGTCTCAGAGCACTTGTATAGTTGGCAAATAGGTCACGAAACAGCTTGTGAGCCAGTCTCCCCTCAGCTCCCAGGCACTCTGGAGGATGAATGAGGATGGTCTTTGACTGCATGTAGTTCAGGGGCCTCTGTTTGCATCCTCCATCCCCCAGCTGGGGCCTCATCACCTGGTTCCATGGGCTCACATGCTTTCAGTGGTGTTGGGTCTATGTGGCTCATGTGTGCTCAGATGTGTGCCAGAGGAGGGCATTAGATATCTGCCTGTCACTTTCTACCTTATTCTCTCGAGACAGGCCTCTCACTGAACTTGTAACTGGCCATTTTTTTCAGTAATCTTCCTGGCTCTGGTCCCTACAGCACTGGGGTTCTAGGTGTTTGTGGTCACATCTGGCTCCTCACATGGTTACTGCACACTACATCACCCCAGCTAATCAGAATGCCATTTTCTTTCTCTACACCCCCTCCATTCCCCAGATAGCTTGTTCTCAGCAGGCACCGAAGAGAAAGGTGGAGATAGGTGGGGGTTTGGGGTGGACAGGAGTAATAGGTATCAGAAGAGGGCTGGTTCATACCTGCAGGGAGAAAGAGCAGGAGCAGAAATCCTAGGCCGAGGTGGTGTCTCTTGGTCTCCATGGCCCTATCACAACAA